CTGAGGTAGGCAAGGTACTTTCCCAGCATCCCATCTAAAGAAGATGTGTAATCAAGCTGTTCTCATTAATAAGCCAGCTTACTGCAGTGAGAATAGGAGGACAAACTTTGTTGCACGTAGGCCATCAGTCCTGCTAATTAGAATGACACTTGGAGCTGTACAAATCTAGCATGATTATACAAGCTGCTGAATACCCCCAGGGTACTTTTCTCCAAGAACCTTGCCAGAACTTTGATCTAGTAGTAGATCAGATGCACTGACTCTAGAAGTTATATAATATACTGACCCCACACACTTTTCAATCTGTTGTAGTATCATGGCTTCAACTTCAATAATGCAATAATGTTATTGCAATTTTTAAAAACAACAACTAAACACAGCTTTGAACTCTTAAGCAGATTATGATACTTTTTCCATTTTTCACAGGTATAAGCTTGCAAAATGAGCTTTGAAAGCTTGATTTCCATCAAATTTACTCTCCTCTTAAAAACAAACAAACATCAAGATCTTGCTGAATGCACAACATAGAGTTTCAGGCTAGTTTCAAACAGTCCAGAAAGTAAAAAGTGAGGCCCATCACATATATGGTATTGTGTTTTATATAACCTTCACCATTATAAATCTTTCTTACAAACATAAAATGATTCATGGCATTAAAAAAAGATGATTTATTTATGACCATGACTTAAAAAATAAAAGAAATCCAGCTTTATTCCAACTATCCATAGGAGTATATATTTGTATTTGTTCAGACTGCTTTTGGATTCTTAAACTGCAAACCAATATGGAACACAATAAAATCACATCCATAGGATTGTGATCCCACACACTTTTACATAAGAGTAAACCCCATTAATGGATTTCTATTCAACGGAGAATGAATATAACTGATATATGAAGTTATTTGTCTGAAAAAGTGATATTTCTCAAAACCAGTATAAATGGAACATCCCTGATTGTCATCAATAAATACATTTTAAAAAGAATGACATATATACATAGCTATTTGTACCTGTTTTAAAAAAATACAAGCACAAATACAAAATTCTACACTGTTGATTCATATGTACAACAGTATAAGCAGTATACCAAAGTGGTATAATTGCAGCTATTAATAAAGATTTTTCAATTCATTAATCATGTTATCTTTTAGCCAATTCATGAACTAGATGAATTTATTACATTATCTTATTGCCGTTATTGCAAATACTGGAAGAACTGCAAGAAAATGTACTTATATTTAGAAGGAAAAGCCATCTATAGTAATTAATTTGCATTCCATACAACTGTAACAGCCTAATTAAATATGACAAGTGTGTCCATGAAATTCAGTGATTAAAAGACTGTTCCTCACCCATTAATCAGCTAACATTCCATCAATTAATATACCAATTAAAAGTTGCTACCCTAGCTATTATGCATACACTAATAATAGCCATTGCTACATAAATAAATAGATTACATAATATTTTCATTTTCACTTTCTTCATTTTAATGGTTATAGATTGCAAATATCATAATTTATATTATGTACTAATGTGCATGAAACCTAGGCTCTGGAACGTACAGCAGCAATATGCAGAGGATTGAAAAATGCATACCCATATTCTAAAGCTTGTGACAAATTATTAATTTTTAGATAGCATGCTACTGGATTTTGTTTAATGTTTGTATTTATAGAAGCATATGCATGACATTCTTACCATAAAACACCAGTGTTTTGCAAGGCTCGTTTCAAATACTTTCATTCCTTCCTCTTGCATAGTTTAATTATCCTTTCTCCCTAGTCCCAAATCCTATGGGATAGTAACTTCCAGTGTATAGTATCTATTGCCCTTCCATATATTTTAAATGCTCTGGACCGAGAATGGGGTTTAAGAAACCCAAATTATGTACAAGAATGCAGGTTCCTAAATAAGTGCTGCAGGACGGGTGCAATGCCTGTGTCAGGTTTTATGACTATAATTCCACTCTGGTTTTTGTTTTACATTCCTCTTGGAGAGAGGGGGGCAGCCTACCTGCTTCAACTTTTTCTCCTTTTTGAAGGACGGGGAGGGGAAGCACGGGGAAGCGGAAAAGCCTTCTTTAGCCGCAGATGGGCTTCGGGAAGGCAGTGACCCGCGCAACCTGCGAGTCAATAATTAATGGGAACCTCTCGTCTTACCACACCATCGTAGATGGAGAGGCACACTGGCGTCAAACTCATTCAAACACCATCCATCCCCATTAAGCGGTCGAGAAAGCCAAGGGGGCAGGAGCAGATGGTGGCAGCCGCGGGGGCGGGGCGGGGCGG